AAGTACCTCAAAAGTGTACGACAAAAATTATGTTTGCGTATTAATATATAAGATGTCATGTTGATTCTCTAACTGATATTCGGACTGCACTTGTTCCAATCAGGACTGTAAATAGTTTTTGATGTGTATACATCTTTGGTTTCGGTAGGTAAAATTTGCGAAGCTGTAAAGGCTGATTTTCACTATGTCAAATTCAGTGGCATTTGTCCTCAAATAAGTGAAAACACATTGTCGAATGGGATTAAAAAGCGGTTTATCGATTGATTTGGATCAGGATAGGTCTTTAGTCGTGTACATGCGCTGCTAAATCGGCTATCTGTCTGTTTTTGGCCCATAATATCATCGGTAAAGGCATGGATAAAGGAGATAAAGTTGTGTCAAAATATGTCGCCAAGTTTTGGCGTCAAAATGTAAAAAGCAAGGCGAAAATTTAAAAAAATACTGAAATCATTTTAACATGGACCGTTGATAACTGATGAACATACATGAATATATGTATGTATAATATGCATATGTATGGATGATATAATAGCTCTGATCCAATACTTTTCGTGTAAAATCCTGGAAAAAGGTCAAACAGCAAAATCACTCTCTGAAGTGAGGGTAAAAAGTGAGTAACAGCAAAACGTATGGAACAAAAAAGCATCGGGTAAAATCCTGCAACATGAACTGCATGTACATGAACCACAGATTATATTCCGAAAAGAAAAACTAAATTTAGGAATATATAAAAATAGAAATGCTCAACCTATAAGCTCAAAAAAAATAACTGATGCGGTGTTTCCAAGATATTTTAACGGCCTTGAGTCACAAGTATATACAAGTAAATTGAAGCGCATTTTTTACTATGCATATGCCTAAATGTATGCAACCATTTGGCAAGCAAACAGAGGGTGCTTCTAATGAAAATAAAAAGGTTACGGTGAAATCCACTTGCTAAGCCCTTCCAAATTTTGTGCTGGGATATGCGTTACAGCTTCGCAAATTTTACCCCTACCGAAACCAAAGATGTATACACATCAAAAATATTTTTAATAAAATATTTTATATATATTATATTTTTAATAAAATATTCAGTTAAAATTTATTTAAATGGCATAAATGTGTTGCAGAAAAAAAGGGACCATGGTGGCACAGAGAAGAAGTTTAACTTTTCCTCGAGTTGTTTGAATAACAAGCACAACCAATTTGACAGCTAACGAGCTTTGATTGAGATTATATTTATATGTAAACGTACTTTTATGCTTTGCCGTTCGCATATGTTTACACATCAAATTTTATGAGTACCTAGTACTCACGTTTTTTTTTTTAATATTTTGCTCAAAGTGGCTCTTGGAAGGTTAAAAACTAAATTCGACACATCTACACCACCTCCTCTTTCTTTAATATGAGTTTCATGAAAATCAGTGGGGATTAAGTACCTCAAAAGTGTACGACAAAAATTTTGTTTGCGTATTAATATGTAAGATATATGAGAACATAATGTAGCGAATGTATATTCTGAGTTTGAAGCACATCGGACTATAAATGCGATTTTTTAGTATAGCTCGAACCCTGCGCGACCTATCGGAAAAGTTAAAAATTTGTGCACTCCTCCTCCGTAACACCTTTCCAACAAAGTAACAATCATTCGAATCCGTGAAGAAACGTAGGAGAAAATTGTTCCCAATTATTCATGCTTGCCTATTTATATATAGATACTAGCGGAGCAAGCGACGTCGTTCGGGGTAAACAAATCAAAATATAAAACAGTAATACAAATATTCAGTTCAACACAAATTAGACGGGGAAAACTATTTTCTTCAACTACTATATATTGATCATCACTTTCTGTTCTAAAAATCTTGTTCAATTACTAATGTTATGTTATTGCAATGTTATGAATCGTTATGCTAATGCACTTGAAGATGTTCAGCTATTGAAACAGTACATACTTTTATATTCCCCTCATTTAACATTATGTATTTACTCATATGTATGCATTCCGTTACCTTGGTACAATATGTATATATATCCGTCTCTGAATTACGAATAAAGCAGTCGAAGTATAACCTTCAAATGACTCGGACATAACAATTTTTGGCGACGAGTGAAAACGACTCACGTTCCGGCACGTAAAGTAAAAGCAATGGCTTCAACTACATTTTTTAATTTTGAGCCCTTCGACGCGAATAAAACTTCTTGGTCACGTTGGGCTGAGCGTTTCAAAACCGCGTTAGAATTATACGAATGCGAGGAGACCAAACATGCAAAATTGCTTCTTCATCTTATGAGGTCAGACACATACAACTTATTGTGCGACAAGATCATGCCCCAGAAGCCAGAAGAGAAGACATACGAGCAAATAATAGAAATACTACACGAGCACTTCGACCCAACACCTAACGAAATTTTGGAAAATTTTCGTTTTAACATGCGCAAGCAAAAAGCAGGCGAAACGTGTACGGAGTTTGCAGTGACATTGCGACGATTGGCGGTAAATTGTAATTTTGGTACGCACCTGGAAAAAGCTTTACGAAATCAGTTCGTATTTGGTTTGCTAGATAAGAACATTCAAAGTAATTTATTGAAAAAGAAGTCATTGGGCCTTACTGAGGCCATAAGTATGGCTACGGCATATGAATTGGCAGAAAAAGGAGGTGAAGAGTTACAAGGGGGGAACGACAAGGAGAGCGTGAATAAAGTTTTGGGAAAGAAAAGAAAAAGTCAGAGAAGAGAGAGAAAAATGAGAAGCCGAAAGAAGATATAAAAAAATGTTTTCGGTGTGGCAATAACGCGCACCTTGCAGACAAATGCAAATACAAAGATTTCACCTGTCACTTTTGCAATAAAAAAGGGCATCTTAAGAAAATGTGCTTTAAACAGAAAATGCAAAAGAAGCGTGTGAACCAAATAAGCGAAGACAAAACCACATTGGTCGAAGAATTGTTCAAAGTGGAAATATATGGCGAAGTGCACAACATAGGTAGAAAGATCGAATGCAAACTGTCAGTGAATAATGTGCAAACTTCGTTTGAAGTGGACACAGGGTCCCCTGTTTCGATAATCAACTTGGAAGATGCCAAAAGAAACTTCGCAAAATCGCAATTAAAAGAAGCTAAAATACAGCTTGTGAGTTATTGTGGCACACCTTTGGAATGTTTAGGTTACATTTGGGTACGCGTTGCGGACAAGTTGAGTGATAAAATGCTAAAATTGTATATCGTGAGATCAGATCGTAGACCACTTCTGGGCCGGGAATGGCTGCGTGAAATAAAAGTCGACTGGAACGATATACTGAGCAGTGAAACGTACACCGCGTCGCGTATTAACCAAATTGAAGATAGTAGCAAAACGTGCAAAATAGAAAACTTGCTTAAAAGATATCCCAATTTGTTTTCCAAAACTACGGGGAAAATTCGCGGTTTACAGGCTCGACTGTACGTAAAACCAAATACAACACCGAAATTCGTTAAACACAGACGAGTGCCTTTTCCTTTATTGGAAGCTGTATAGCGTCAACTAGACGAACAAGTTGCGGAGGGACTTCTTAAGAAGGTGGAAACAAGTGAGTGGGCCACACCGATCGTTGTAGTACGCAAGAAAGGTGGCAATATACGAATATGCGGCGACTATAAGGTAACCCTTAATCCAGTATTACTAGTCGACGAGCATCCTTTGCCAACAGTGGATGAACTTTTTAGCAAGATGGCTGGAGGGCAAAAGTTTTCAAAAATTGACTTGTCCACAGCATATTTGCAATTAGAAATCCACCCGGAAGACCGACATTTACTCACACTAAGCACGCATAAGGGGTTATACGAACCCACACGAATGATGTACGGAATCGCAAGCGCTCCGGCAAAATGGCATCGTGTAATGGAACAATTACTAAGCGGTATCCCCGGGGTGTCAGTATTTTTAGACGATATTAAGATCACGGCATCAGACGATGGTATGCACCTACGACGCGTTGAAGAAGTCCTCAGCAGACTCGATCGGTGCAACATGCGGGTGAATCTCGAAAAATCTGAATTCTTCAAAGATAGCATAGAATACTGTGGCTACATTATCAGCAAAGAGGGCATTCGGCGAATGAAAGGTAAGATCCAGGCGATCCAAGACATGAAAGTGCCTACTAATCGAGAGGAGGTTAGAGCCTTTATGGGCCTCGTGAATTATTACGGCAGATTTGTGCGAAATCTAAGTGACATAGTATACCCTATTAATCGGCTACTGCAAAACAGCGTAGAGTTCATTTTCGATAACAAATGTATGAAGGCATTCGAAGAAATTAAAAAACATATGCAATCGGGCATCATACTCACACATTATGATCCGAAGTTACCAGTCACCTTGGCCGTTGATGCCAGCCCAATTGGAGTCGGCGCAGTATTGAGTCACACGTATGGCGATGGTTCGGAAAGGCCGATACAATTCGCTTCACAAACGCTGAACAAAGTACAACAGCGCTATTCACAACTGGACAAAGAAGCCTATGCAATCATATTTGGGATACGTAAGTTTTACCAATACCTGTACGGCAGAAAGTTCACTCTCGTTACAGATAATCGGGCAATTTCGCAAATATTTTCACCAAGTAAGGGGATACCAACCCACTCAGCAACTCGTATGCAACATTATGCATTATTCCTTGAACAGTACGATTACGTTATCAAATGCAAGCGTTCGAAAGACAACGCTAATGCAGATGCGCTGTCAAGGCTGCCAACCATAGAGGAACACAAATGCACAGAGGAGGTGTACATGGTGGAAGAAGAATTGTTGGATAATTTACCAATAACCGTCACCAATCTCCAACGAGAAACAAAGGCGGATAAATCGATTAAATCCTTGCTAGAAGGTTTGAGATACGGCCGAATCTGCGAACCAAAAGACCGTTTTGACATTGACCAACATGAGTTCACACTATCTTGCGGGGAATACGTGCGTATATCCCTAGGAGTCTTAGGCAAAGAGTACTGGACGAATTGCATACAGCACACTTCGGCATAGTTCGAATGAAAAGTCTAGCCAGAGCTTATGTTTGGTGGAACCAATTAGACAAAGACATTGAAGAGCTAGTACAGAAATGTGTACCGTGTCAAACTACAAGACCCAATCCAAAAAAGGAGCCACCAGGCCACACTTGGAAAACGCCTACTAAAGCGTTTGAACGGGTCCATATAGATTATGCCGGCCCGATAATGGGCAAATATTTGTTCGTACTTATCGATGCCTACAGCAAGTGGCCTGAAGTACACGTAACGCCTAATATGAATACAGAAACCACCATTGAAAAATGTCGGGAAATATTTTCGCAATTTGGTATCCCAAACATTATTGTGAGTGATCATGGGCGGCAATTTAATTCGAGTGAGTTCCAACATTTTTTGAAGTGCAACGGCATTGCCCACAAACAAGGTGCGCCATACCATCCAGCTACAAACGGCCAAGCTGAACGTTATGTACAAACCATCAAACACAAATTAATTGCAGCAAAATGCACAGCAGACTCATTGAAAGCGGAATTATCAAAAATTTTATTAGCATACAGGCGTACTATTCACCCAGTAACAAACAAGTCACCGTCGATGCTTATGCTAGGCAGGCAGATTCAATCCAGATTGGACTTACTTCTGCCGCAGAATAACCAAATAAACAACAATCAAGCAATGAAGCCAACGCAAAAACGAATGATGAGCGGTGATCGAGTAGCAGTACGCGATTATCTCTCAAAGAGGAAGTGGCGATTCGGAGTGGTCGAATCGTGTAAAGGCGATTTACACTACAAATTGAGACTCGATGACGGTCGCATATGGACAAGGCATGCCGATCAAGTGAGGAGATCGGGAGTAGTAGCCCACAGTGAGCAAGCAACAACAGCAAACGGAGAACAGGTAACTAACAACACAGAGACGCCGGAGACAAACACACCACGCGAAAATCCGCCAGCGTTTTCAAGGCAATCAATCAACGCATTACCTATTCCGAAACCCACAGTGACGGCTGAGCCTGAAGGGATGGTTACAAAAGCCGCAAATCCAAATGTAACCGAAGTTAAGCAGACACCAGCAACTGAAACGACACAACAACAACAACCACTGCGACGTTCGCAGCGACAACGCAAAATACCAACCCGCCTACTACAATAAAAATAACCAACAAAGTTTAGTTTTAAGCCAAACACACTATGCTAAATTTAAGCAATTTGAAATAATGCAGCTTGTAGAAATATCGGTGTAAGTTATTGAATTTATTTGTAAACATACCGATGAAGAACATTTAAAATTTAGGGGGGAGAGATGTTATGTTATTGCAATGTTATGAATCGTTATGCTAATGCACTTGAAGATGTTCAGCTATTGAAACAGTACATACTTTTATATTCCCCTCATTTAACATTATGTATTTACTCATATGTATGCATTCCGTTACCTTGGTACAATATGTATATATATCCGTCTCTGAATTACGAATAAAGCAGTCGAAGTATAACCTTCAAATGACTCGGACATAACAACTAATATAAGGCGGATTAAAGTAACGATAGAATTTTTAAATTAAAATTAGTCGACTATGGTAGATTCCTTTTAGCTTCCTATTCGCTTAGCCTTTTTAGTATAGCCGCACTTTTCCGGTAGAATGCTTATTTCAGAAGTGGTTTTATTCACTATACACGCACATGTTTCAATTAACAGCAACGCGGGATCAATAAAATGATTTAATCTTTTCATTTCAAAATGGTCTAAAGACTTTAAAGTTTCAAAAAAACCCTGTTTTAAATATTCGAGTGGTCTAATAGTTGAATACATATTTATCCCCCTTTCACAAACACATTTATATATACTTTATTCTAAACAACTCCCGTATATATGTCTGCATACCTAATTTCAGGTTCGTGTGACTTATGGTGTCGAAGTTATAGCTGATACAAAATTTCACGCCTAATGGATGTGCCACGCCCCCTTTTATAAACTCATTCATATACACCTTACTATAAGCACCTACCGTAGTTATGTCTGCATACCAGAGTTTGAACTCTGTGACTTATGGTGTCGAAGGTATAGCACATAAAAAATTCCGGGCCTACGGGATGTGCCACGCCCCCTTTTAAAATTCATTCATATACACCTTACTATAAGCACCTACCCTAGCTGTGCCTGCATACCAAATTTCAAATTCATATGACTTATGGTTTTGAAGTTATAGCTGTTAAAAATTTCCACGCCTATGGGATGTGCCACGCCCCCTTTTATAAACTCATTCATATACACCTTACTATAAGTACCTACCATAGATATGTCTGCATACCAAATTTCAAGTTCATGAGACTTATGTTGTCGAAGTTATAGCTGTTAAAAATTTTCACGCCTATGGGACGTACCACGTCCCCTTTTACGAACTCATTTATATATTGCCTACAATAAGCACCTACCATAACTATGCCTGTATACCGAATTTCAAGTTCGTAGGGTTTATGGTTCCGAAGTTATTGCTGATCAAAATTTCAAGCCTATGGGAGGTGCCACGCCCCCTTATCGAATCCCAATTTGTTTCTCCTTATTATAGGCCCGGGGTTCATGGCAACACTCTGTCAGAATTTCGTTCGATTCTGTCCGTCGGTTTAGGCTTCAACATGGCACATACATACATATATACTTAGACAAATATATATTAGATATCTATCCTTCTCCCAGCGTAAAATAGTTTTTGGAAATATCCCGACCCCAGCGCTTCCTATCGTGAGATTTTTTAGTCCAAATATTCCTTTTCAATTGGCTGACTTATGTTCAAAATATGAGACTAATCGGCAAGTAAATGCAATTTTTTGGAATATCCTGACCCCAGCGTCACCTAACGAGCAAATTTTTGGTAGAAATATTTCTTCTTAAGGTACTGATATATGTTCCAAATATGAACCAAATCGGTCCAGCGGTTTAGTAGTTTAGTGACACAATATACAGAAAACTCTATGAAATTGTGAAATCGTGACGTCTCAGCATTCTTCTTTTTTCGGCAACAACAACAAGAAGTTTCAAATTTTTTTAAATCAAAAAACCTTCCACACAGAAGGTCCAAAACAATACTTTTTACAGAATTGAAATCGGTTAAGCCGTTTGGTCAGGCATCGCCGTCATACGAAAAACATTTCATTTATATATATATAGATATGAGAACATATTGCATGGAACTGAATTTGACATAACTCGGCTTTGGAGCCAGCTATCGGGCTAATTTTTGGCAGGTGTATTTATCCTTATGTGGCGAATGTATATTCTGAGTTTGAAGCACGTCGGACTATAAATGCGATTTTTTAGTATAGCTCGACTCCTGCGCCACCTATCGGAAAAGTTAAAAATTTGTGCACTCCTCCTCCGAAACACCTTTCCAACAAAGCAATAATCATTCGAATCGGTTGAGAAACATAGGAGAAAATTGTTCCCAATTATTCGTGTTTGCCTATTTATATATAGACTAGCCAATGCTCGCTTGCTTCGCAGCGCCTAGTAAGATCTTTTGCGTTGGCCAATACAAAAATAGCGATTAAGAGGAAAATCGGTCTGTAAAGTAAACATTTTTAGTTTAAATCGAAACGAATAGGGATAAATCAAGGTAGGGATACCATCAAGGTATTACTCAAATCAGTACTTGTACTTGTCTCAAACAAGGTATCGATACCTACTCAGTATCGGAAAGGTATCGAGCACTTTATATAGACTACGATTTTGCATATTTTTCAAAGTAACTGTATTGTTTTTTTTCCAAAAATATGCATTTTTATAAGATTATTTATCTTTTAATAATGTTTCAGACAAAAATTTAAGACAAGAATTATTTTTCTATAGTATTTGATTTCAAAAAACAATAGAATACATTTTTACAAGATTAATAGATCATCTCGCAAGGAACAGATGACCCAACAACCGTTATGTATAGACGCAGTGTTGCCGTTGTGAGTTTTCAGAAAGTTGAAAAAAAGGGTTCATTGACGAGAAAAAGGGTCACCATATTATTTTTGATTTTCTTTACTAGTAAAAGAATAAATTGGTTGAATTTAAAAAGAAAAATAGTGGGACAAGCTTTTCACAAAAAAGGTTGCAAACATACACATAAATCGAGAAAAGTTACATTTCCCTTAAAAGCTTTAAGTGATGCATTTTTTCGTACTTACAGTTGGAAATATTTTTTAATAGCATGGTTCTGTTAACATTTCCTAATACCATGTCCCCACCAAAAAGTTAACCATCTCAAATCGAACTTAACCACATCACTAACTATTGCTGTCCACACTGCGGTTTGAGGTTTATAAAACAGTACAAATGTAAAGAAGAGTGTTTGGTCCAAAAATCGATTCAGGACTAAATTACTGCAAAAATCGGAGCAAAAACCAATTTTCCTTACTAGATTGAATTTTTTATTTTTGTTTCTGACATTAACTGTTTGACTAAAATATTTTCTACTCATGCAAAATAAGAACGCGAGGCAATATAAGGATAATATATTACATATTTAGGTAATTTTTAGCATTTTAAATATAGTAGAACGTATCTAACACTTAATTTTTTAAAAAGCAAACCTTTTCTAGTTTATATAAATTTCATTCCTCATATATTTTTTAACAACCTAAGTAAAGTTCTGCATCCGCCAATTTGTGCAGCCATACATCAAAGAATAACGATGTTACTTTATTGACGCATTGCTATGAAAGAGTTACTTTTTAACAGTGAGATTTGGCTAACTTTCAATTTTTTAACTGAAACCGGTGGTGAGTACTCAAAAAACGGCACCAAGAGGGGCATAGCATGAATGAAAAAAAACGGAATAGATTTGAAGTCAAGCGGAGTAGAGGAGTAGATTTCAAATTTTTTCAAAAATAGGAGTAAATCTAATTGATCTTAGTGGAGTCCAAACACTAGTAGGGAACGAATTCTTCACATTTTAACGCTAATGTCCCACAGATGGCGGGCAAACACAGGGTTGTATCAGACTTTCGACGTGGTTTCGAGTTGGTTAGCTTTTAACCATCTCAGTGAAATGGTTAAGTGCTGTCATTTTTATATGGCGAAACTACGGTAAATCAAGTGGGTTATCGGGATAACCAACTCAATAGCCATAACTACGTGGTTAGCTTCGGTGGGGACATGGTATAAAAAAGCTTTTGAAAAGGGGCAAAGGTCGCACATAATTTTGGAAAAGCGTATTGGCGCTTAAAAAGGGTCAAATTTTTCCTTTAGTCGCACAACGGCAACACCACTATATAGACGGGCTTGCTTATATAGCTGCGGAAATGTTTTGCGCATATCTTTCAATTCCTCTAATGGGTTGCTTTTCAAAAAAGATGCTGAAGCATAATAAGTTTTGCGGTTCCGATACAAGTACTTTTTTTCCGATACCTACTTGGATCGCAGTAAAAAGTATCGAGTACAAAAATACTTAGTAAATTGAGAAAAGTATCGAGTATGTACTTGGATTTACTTGTATCGATTTATCCCTAGAAACGAATAAAGAGCAGAATCCTCCTCACACATAGGCCAAGAATAGTAGCGCTGTGATACCTATGATCTTATTTCCACCTGTGAGATCTCTGCCAAGCGTGTATAATATTCTTCTATGATCTTGCAACTTCAACATTGGTCCGTAAACCAGTTTTCAAGAAAATCCTGTTGCAGTCTTTACATGCACACTTAAACGAAGCCATATGAAAAGTAGATTCGTCTAAGATGAATATAGGGTCAAAGCAGACCAAACCCCGTGTGGGTTTGTATATATTTCGGCTGCAGCGCAATCCATTAGGTCTCTTTTCTGCAAAACCACTGTTTGTCATGAAATGAATACGCATTATGAATTTCAATCAGATTTTATAAAATATGGCGGGTTCATTTTAAGGAAACGAATTTTTCATCATACAGGTAGCTCAACTTGCGAATTTGAATGAAATCGGTTAATAAATACGACTTTTAGAAGTAACTCTACTCCAGCGCCACCAGCATGTTGTCTAGTAGGCTATAATAGGACCATATATTCAAGGTATAACCTATGACAATTTGACTGGTTTTAGTTCGAACAACGAAAACGGCTATCATTTTACGTATGTATGTCCATTAGAGTGGTCCAAACAAAAAATTTTCCTTGACAGGGTTTGGGGCACCCC